TTTCTTACCCTTTCCTTTCTTCCTCTTTATCCCTTGCTTCCTCAAGTTTTTGCATCACGTTAAGCCTGTTGTTAAATTATTCATAAGGAACGCTTCAYTATGCGTATTGAGCGTCGAGCCAGTCAGATAAAACCCAGTTATCGTCCTCAAACACCGGCAACTTCTGTTCGTCTGAAATGTTTAAATAACCGTTTCTGCTTTCTCTCTCAATTAATTGAGAATTACAAAAGCGAGAAAAAAGTTCCATATTTTCGTGTTCAATAATAAGTCATTCTTGAATATCAAGTAAATATAAAAACGCAAACCGGTCACGAAGAGGATGGTGCCATCTTGGATAAGCTTCCGTAAGAAAGTCATGTCTTGTTTTAACATTGCGGTCATCTCCTTATTGATCAGTAGTCTTCAGCCCGTTGAAGGTAAGCTTGCTAACAGGCCTACAGATAAACACTCTGAAAGCCTTCTCATTGTTTTCTATTATTCTTAAAATCCATAAACTATCAAAATCTTCAAAAGAGATTATGGTTCATACATTGTAATTCAGTTTGTTTTAGTTAAACAATCAGTCTTACATGATGCAAAAAGTTCCAGAAATATTACATATCTGTAATAATATGTAATATCTACAAAAATATACGTTTGTCATTCCATACGATTTACACCTTGATAATCCTTCCAATAATATACGAACTGGTTGTTGAAGTTTTCATTGGAGATGTTTCTAGTTTGATCGTTTCATTGGTTAGAATTATTTATTTTTCGGTTTAACTTACATAATTTTCAAGCTAAAAATACTAGCTCAAAAAACAATAATAATAATAAGAAAAAAAAAAGAATGAAATCTAAGTTGTCTATATTTTTTTGTATTTCGTAGAGCGCATTGTTTTAATAGATCCGGCTGATTTWAAAACCCATTCATTGAATAATACACTTGGAGTCTTGAAAAAAATTCTCGCTTTATTTCGTCTAATTTATTACATTTTTTTACAACTTTGGACTCCAAACATCTTGGCTTTCGAAAGAATCGGAACAAAATAGGAAACTATCTAAACTTGACCTATGGAGTGAATATTTTTATATTCATACGAGAGTTCGTTTTGTTTGACTGGCTTCAAAGCGAGCCTTTAACATAACGATTCTGTGAATCAAGATCTGTTTCAACGTGTTGAATTATTCAACAAAGATGAACAAAAGAACTAGAATTCCGCTCACGGCRTGATRTAGCAGTCTCATCCACTAGACGCYTGTTAATAGAATAGAACTATTGATAGTCATAACAGATCATTGCACACCATGTCTTTCTAGTTCTTTCTTGAATTTATCGGCTTTGAATATTCTAATTTTCGTCTTGTCCTTGTTTGGTAGTGGAGAACGATGTTTAAATTCGTTCAAATTTGTCGTGCCATTTTATTATTATTATTATTATTTTAAACTGATTCGAAAAAAGTTACCAAAGCTGTTTGCAAGAACATGTTTGTTACGTTCCTTTCAACGTTGTACTAAGTTGTAAATATCATGACTCGAAGAAGCAAGTCACAGTCAGTAAAAATTGAAAGTTTGAAATAACTTCAGTAATAGCGAAAAAAGGTAGTTGAAATCCAAAGCTTGCACATTTTGTACGGATTTGGACCGGATTTGTATATTGCTGAGCTTCATACAACAAACACTTTTTATGAAATTGGCAATCCTTGGTTATCGCAATTCGGGTCCTATTTGAGTTGTATTCTTCAAACTTTCAACTTTCACTAACATTAGCTTCGAATTATGATATTTTTGTTGGCCTCGAATTAATATTTAAAATGTCACGCTAGAAGTACAAACTTCCAATTAAAATTTTAATTGTGAACATTTATGAAGGAATAGAATAGAATTTTAAAAAAATTACAATGAAAATAACTGGCAAGTGACACATCACGATGCAAAGGAATATTCCCATTATATCTTTTTCCCTTGAGTTTTTATTAGTAAGAGTTTTCATGAACATTTTCTTTTTTCATAATTTGTCACAATTTGGTTCTTTGTGTACTGTGTCTTGATTTTTACAGCCAGACTTGCTATCACGAATAGCGGTGACCTTGGCTTGTTCCAGATATATGAAGAACAACCAATCGGTAAGCGTTTTGCTAGATGGTATACAGTCCTTTGACTAAACGTTGTCGTTTGATCGGCTTCATCCCTACGCGCCTAGACCGAAAAGAATYATGGGGATAATTAATTCACAGTTACTAGCTGCCGCATATGTTATCTAACACGTTATCYTTTTCTAACACGTAATTTACCCGTTATCCTTTTCGGTCTAGGTGCGTAGGGATGATCCGATCAACGACAACGTTTAGTCAAAGGACTSTATGTTATATAAGATTATAAGCAGTGATGAAATGACTTGCTGATTTGCTTACGTAAAGCACGTTTTTAGTTATATGGAGAAAAAATTCGCGTCACTCTGAAAACGTCAAGATACCGTGACGTGTGATGTAAATATCACGATGTGGTCTCCAAACAACGTGATTGTCTAGGTATCTCACTTGACAACTTAAAACAACGTAATTGGATGTTCAGGGATCTCACGTGACATCTTAAGATAACTTGATTGGATGTCTAGGTATTTCACATGAGGTCTGTAAACAATGAGATTGAATGTCCAGGAAATCACTTGACCTCTGTAAACATCGTTACTGGATGTCCTGTGGTAAATAGTCCTTATGTTTAGTGATTGGTTTGGAGCAGTTGTCTCATGACTTTAACTTCCCCTAAAATCATGCCACAGGATGGACAACATCCTTTGAACCAAAAAGACATGGTTACGCCACGGAATTTCCACCTGAGTGAGTTTTTCAAGGTCATTCCCAGTCATACAAAATCTATTCTTATAGATTACTGTGCTGCTTAATTGTTTTCTTCCATCGAGTTAATCATTGGTTAATTGTCATTGTGAATGATTCGTGCATCTTTTGATATTCCAGGAACTGTAGTCATCACAGTCATAACGAACGAGCCTGCAGATTCGTTCGAGTTGACAGACACTGCTGGTTACTTTGGCATTAACAGCACAACTGGGGAAGTATTTGTTCTGAAGCGAATCGACAAAGAAGTGAGTAGCAGAATCAATCGACAGTGCATTTCTACCTCTTCTGTCCACTTGAAGGTTCAAGTGTTTGACATGCATGACGTGCTGTTACAGCGCTATCGATTACCACTTTTTTGTAAGCTCTGGTCTGCCCGAGTCATTAATTTGATGCTCCATTGAACCACATGTGAGTTAAATACGGTTGGGTTTTCTCCATCTAATCATCCTTAATCATTTCCAGGAGGAAAAAGACACGTATTTCAAACATATTTATGGCATCTTACCATTATATTGTCAACAGGTTATAGGAAGTTCTCGGCTCACCGCTTCAGTCACAGCTCGTAAGGATGGTTTGATGGTAAGGTCATCTTGTCTTTCCCGCTAAACATTATACCAAAAAAAATGTAGCATAGAAAAACTGCTTTTTAATAAAAGATTGGTGGATGTTTCGTTGCAAGTTACATGTTAAATGGTGCATGTTTCATGCTGCACACCAAGCTTGAAAAGTGTTGGTTATACAGAAGAAAATATGCCTGAAAAATGTTCAGACAAAGTTTGGAAAAATTTCATTTTGTTAATGTTGTGATCTATTGCAAAATACCGTCACATTGCCCGCTTTGCAATGCAGACTTGGATATACGACCTGCAACAAAGCCTTCACTAACCTTTTTGCAAGAGCTTCATTTTTACCACATTTGTGAATTTTCTCGCTTTCTGATTGGTCTAGAGGACATACTGATAAATTACGTCTTGAAACCGTTTGAAAACTGTCTCGGCTACGCCTTATTGTGAGTCCACAACATTTTGATGGCTAGATGACGAAAATCGTGGTAAATAAGATGACATACCACGGAAAACTGTAGGGATTTGGTTAAATCTATGACAGTTTACTCACTGTTAGAAGAAAAATGTTGTAAATGATAATAATAAAGAGTTTCTTTCATTCCCAGGCCACTGCCAACCTAAGATGTGTTGTCAATGATATTAATGACGTCACTCCATCTTTTCCAAAAAGATTCTACAATGTTTCTATCAGTGAGGTATTATAAAAATATGTCTTAACTGTTATTTATCTCACTTAGACATTTGGTTTTTCACAGTCTACCTATTCTTCTATTTTATCTAATCAATCTTTTCAACTTATACAACCCATCATATTGTCCATTGATTTTGACGATGATATGATAATGKTGGTGATGATGACAATGATGATGGTGGTGATGATGATGATGATGATGACGGCAATGCTGATGATGATGAAAAAGATGATGATGGTGGTGATGATGATGATAATGTTGACGATGTTGTCTTGTTTATTGATAGTATGTTTTTCGTGTGTGTGTTCCAATCAGAAATCATCAATAGATAATGTGGCATATACTCTCAAAGCAGAGGACGCAGATACAGGTAACAACGGCCAACAATTTGTAGCATATGAGATAACAAGTGGAAATGAGGTGAGAAGACGTTCCTTTATTATTCCTTAGTATTAATTTCGTCCTAGAGTAATTGTCCCTTTCACTGTTCCCTACGCCACCCTGAAAGGTAGCTGAGCATTTGCTTCGAAGCGAGACGAACGGCGAGCTTGCAATATTAGAGAACTTTCTTAACACCTTGGACAAATATTTACATGTCTCTATCATTGCGAGCCCACCGTTCGTCTCGCTTCGATGCGGAGGCACGGCTACTTTTCAAGATGATACAGGAAACTGTGAAGGGGACTATTCCAATAAACCTGGGCAATAATGACTAATTATACAATTATATGCTAATATCCCCTAACTTATCGCCATTTGCAGTGCTACGCGGCCACCCCATACAAAAATTGCGACATGCACTTTGCAATAGACTGCCCTCAATCAAACACGTTGACGTCATTTACACGAGTTTGGATCGGCCCGGATAAGCCCGGTGAGTGTGGCTCATAATACTTGTTAACAATCGACAAGTTTTGGCGCCTTTTGAATCACACACGCGTGTAAGTGATGTCACGTGTTTGATTGACGGCAGTCTATTGCAAAGTTCACGTCGCGATTTTTGTCTGGGGTGGCCGCGTAGCAATGCAAATGGCGGTAAATAATAGACTAAAATAAATGTTTTTGAAACTAGTCAAATAGACATTCTAGGATTAATGCATATTTTATTTTTGCTGAGTGTTTGTTATTTTCTAACAGAATTTTATTATGAACTTAAGACGAGGAAGCAAGCAAATCAAACGTGAATTTAAGACCGCCATTTTGTTTCAACTTATCCTGAAATAGCATAGCACGTATTATTCGATGTTAGCGAGCCGGCCGAATTCCACGATATTTGTTGGTTCCCATTTTTGTCATACTAGAAACCTTAGTCTAGAAATATAGTACATAGTATATTCTTGCTAGTACATATAAATAAACTCTAACAGCTAAGCAAATAAACTCTTAAAGCTTATAAGAATGACTCTATACCTTTTTTTAATTAAATATTCCTTTTTTTAGGATGGGTCGTTCTCCATAACACAATACGGTGGAGAGGTGAAAGTATCACGTGACCTGGATTACGAAACCAAGACACAATACACGCTGAACATCACAGCACGGGTTGGTAAAACCTCGTATACACCTAAGAGACCCCTTGCATATGACATCAAAGCAGCTCAATTTGGAGGACAAAGCAACTGAATTTCAGTTTCATGAGAATTGAAAACCTATTGTTATGTCCTACAAATCGAGCAGCATTCCAAAGTGCTGCAAGGAGCCTATTGGGGGAAACGTCATTGGGTTCAAAAGGTTAATTGATTGAAACGAAGACCGAAGGGTATTCTGGGCAATCGATATTTAGGGCATTTGGAGAGTGTTTGCACACAGGCACAAGCATGAAGATTGACAAAACGCTTTGTTCGGTAAGCTGAATCGAGGTTCGAGAGCTGCGAAACTGCAAAATGCAGAAAACGAGCTTAAATACACATTTCATCATATTCTAACGTTAATTTGCGCATCATTTAATAATATGTATCATTATCATTAGAGGTTTACTCGGAACATCTTTCGGCCATAGTTTCTACGATTGAACCTTTTAAACCCCACAACGATTTTTTCACAATGCGATGTTGCAGAACTATCCCATCAGTTGCCCTTACCTCGATTTTCGACATTCTCCGAACTCGGTAGTTGCGAGCTGCACGCTGAAATTTATTTTTTTCGCTGCCGTCAATCAAATATTTGTATTTAAATTGAGTKGATCCTCGCAATAAATGAAGCAACTTATGCAGCTACAAATTAAAAGACTCAGAAGAAATTCTGAGTCTTCGTAATATTTATGACTGGCGGCAGCGAAAAACCATTTTCACAACTTGTCGTTGACATTTCCGAGTTTGCAGAATATCGAAAACCGCGGTAACATTTCCTCATGATGGACTTTTTCCAACATCTATTCGTAGGATAAACCTGGTCTTAGTAACTGGACGATTCTACAAGTCACTGTTCTTGATGCAGATGACTTGCCCGCTAAGTTTACTTCGTTTATTTACACGGCTGAAGTCAGTGAAGACGCCTCATTGGTCAGTTGACTTTGAACACTCGAATAATTATTATATTATTATCATTATGAATATTAATAACATCATCATCCACACTGTCATCAGTCATATTTATCATCATCAGACATCATCATCAGTCATCATCATCAGTTATCATTATCACCATTGTCAGTTACCATCATCCTCACTAGCATCTCACCATCCTCATCATCGTCATTACCTCCATCATCATTATTTTCAATATCATTAGTCATCATTATCATCATCATCAGTTACCATCATCCCCACTACCATCCCACCATCCTCATCATCGTCATTACCTCCATCATCATTATTTTCAATATCATTAGTCATCATTATCATCATCATCAGTTATCATC